TATTCTATTCTCCATTCCATATTCTATTCTCCATTCCATATTCTATTCTATTCTATTCTATTCTATTCTATTCTATTCTATTCTATTCTATTCTATTCTATTCTATTCTATTCTATTCTATTTTTGTTCTATTCTATTCTATTCTATTCTATTCTATTCTATTCTATTCTATTCTATTCTATTCTATTCTATTCCTATCCTATCCCATCCCATCCCATCCCATTCTATTGTTTTATACATATTCTATTCCTATTTTCTATTCAATTCTATTCTTGTTTTATTTCTATTCTGTTCTGTTCTGTTCTGTTCTATTGTTTTGTACTTATTCTATTCTATTCCCTATTCTATTCTGTTCTATTCCTATCCTATTCTTTTATACCTATTCTATTCTATTCCCTATTCTATTCCTTCAAATCCCTCTGTTAAGTATTTGTGATCTTTAGTGCCTAGAAAGTCCACAAATGGTTTCCCTTCTCTTATAAAGCTGTCTAGTCCAACGAGCTGGGAAGTCTTTAACTCTCAACCTTCTGCAAATATTCTTCATCTTGAATTCTCTGCCCACCAGGGTCAAACTCAAAGCAACTCCAACCTACCATGTATTTGGGATCCGGTCTTATTAAAAAGGTTGCAGGCACTACTGATCAAAAATGCATTACACTCCCAGGTATTTCACAGTTTATTAAATGCAAATCTCTGGGGTACAAATGATGGATTTCTCCCTTCTGTTCAGGTTTAATAATCTCAAAGAACTTTCTCTCTTCCGGCCATCAAAGGGGTGCCCAGCTTAATATATGGGTTTGCCTCCTGACCCTTTATGGGCAGAGAGCCACCAAGTTAATTGCTTGCATTTAAAAGCAACTACCTAAAAGCAACTATCAGAAATGACATTTAAGTCTTTTTTTTTTTTTTAAAAAAAATCCTGATTGACACCAGAATTCGTCCAAATCAGCACAAAGAATTTGTGGCTCAAAGTAAGCTTTGCTTGAGAAGAAGTAGTTGCGCAAAACAGGTATACGCTCGGATTACTTTGATCTTTTTAGATCAGCCTAAAAAGGAGAAAGGTATGGATCCTGTCTGGTGGAGATGAACACCCAGAAATATATTTGTAGTTTTCCTAGCAACAGTATGGTCATTTACATTCATCCTTTACAGTCCTGGGTACTCTCTGAGCTTGGTGGTTTTCTTGCAGATGTTTCATGACCCAACTAGGCAACATCATCAGTCACAAAGTCACAAAAAGTCATGGAATCAATTATTAACTAATCCATCATCCTCCACTTAGAAACAAACAACCTACTCTCTAATAAACAATTTGGTTTCAGGAAAAAAACTATCATGTAATCTGCAACTCTTACACTGCAAAAACATATGGACGACACAACTCGATCAGGGCAAAGCAATAGACACAATCTACATAGACTTCTGTAAAGCCTTTGATTCAGTGGTACACAACAAACTACTCCTAAAACTAAAATCTTATGGTATCTCTGGACAACTGTATAACTGGATAGAAGCATTCTTGTCAAACAGACAACAAATGGTCAAAATTGGGAGTGTCCTATCAAATTCTGTACCTGTCAATAGTGGTGTCCCCCAAGGCAGTGTTCTAGGACCAACTCTTTTCATACTCTACATAAATGACCTCTGTGATCATATTAAGAGCAACTGCGTTCTTTTAGCTGATGATGTAAAGCTGTTCAATACCACAGACAATACTGCTACCCTTCAAAAAGATCTTGACTATATATCAGAATGGTCAAAAAATGGCAACTTCAAATCTCAACAAATAAATGCTCTGTCTTACATATTGGCAAAAAAAATCAGAAAATAAAATACAAGCTAAATAGTCAAGATCTTGTTGATGATCCAAGCTCTGTAAAGGACCTTGGAATACTCATCTCTAATGATCTAAGTGCTAGAGCTCACTGTAACTACATAGCCAAAAAGGCATTAAGAGTTGTTAACCTAATCCTACGTAGCTTTTTCTCTGGTAATATCACACTACTAACTAGAGCATACAAAACATTTGCTAGACCAATACTCGAATACAGTTCATCAGTCTGGAACCCACATTACGTATCTGATATTAGCACAATTGAGAAAGTCCAGAAATATTTCACAAGAAGAGTTCTCCACTCCTCTACTCATTGTAGAATACCTTATGACACCAGACTCGAAATTCTAAACTTAGAAAACCTAGAACTACGCCACTTTCGGTCCGATCTAAGTATAGTATATAAAATCATACATTGTAATGTCCTACCTGTCAATGAATACTTCAGCTTCAACCATAACAATAAAAGAGCACACAATAGATACAAACTCAAGGTTAATCGCACCAAACTTGATGGCAGGAAATACGACTTCAGCAACAGAGTGGTCAATGTCTGGAATACTCTACCTGACTCTGTGGTTTCTTCCCCAACCCCCCAAAAATTTAACCTTAGACTGTCTACTATTGACCTCACCCCTTTCCTAAGAGGTCTCTAGGGGGTGTGCATAAGTGCACCAACGTGCCTACTGTCCCTGTCCTATTGTTTCTTTTATATTTTTTTTATTTTTCTTAAATGTATCCATGTATTGATAGCTATGTTTTTACTTATACGTATTATCTTGTAAGGCAAGCAACTGACAAATAAAAAATAAAAATAAATAAATAAAAAGGGGATCCCGTGAATCCCAGGACATCTCAACTGTTATAAATACATGCCAGTTTTGAAGTGCCTGAATTTTGATCGTGTGTCCATAGGGATGCCGAAATGGTTGTAAGTGTGAAAAATGGTTATAAATGCAATGCAATGCAATGCAATGCAATGCTGTAATGTAATGTAATGCCATAATGTAATGTAACGTAATATATATTAGATATAACATAACTTAACATAACATAACATAATAACCAGTATAATAAAATAATATTGTATGGTATGGTGAGGTATGATATGATATAATATGGTATGATATAATATAATATGATATATGATATGATATGATTTGATATAATGTAATATAATATAAATACTGGTATATTAAAATAATATGGTATGGTATGATATAGTATGATATAATTATAATATGATATGATATGATATGATATGATATAAATATTGGTATAATATGATATATGATATAAATACCGGTATAAATATAATATAAAATAATATAATGTAATATAATATATATATATAATGTGCTATAATAACAGCATTACATAACATAACATTTCATGCTTTCTGTTCTTTCATTTTTTTTTCTATCTTCTATTTGCCTTTTTTTCTTTTTCACGTTCACTTTACCTTTCCCCTGAGAAGGACGGAGGACTCCAACTCCCAGAAGGCCTTTGGGAAGCCGTCCGGAAGGGAGCCCCGGCCTGGCGGAGAGACGGACACGTGTAACAAGAGCGGGACGCGCGGTGCTTCCTGGGAGGCGTAGTCCTCCCCGCTCGGGAGCGCCGTCAGGTTGCCCGGCGGGGATGCCGCTGAAGAACTACAGCGGCAGAGGGGCGGGCGAAGCGGGGCCGGAGCAGGAAGCGTGGGCGCCGCGCAGGGTGCCGGCTTGGAGCTTGCGGGCTCCCCGGTGCTCTTTGCTGGCCAGGATGCGCCCGTCTCTGGCGGTGGGGCTGGTCTTCGCGGGATGCTGCAGCAACGTGGTTTTCCTGGAGCTGCTGATCCGGTGAGTTGGGGGTGCCAGGTGGGCGGCTGGGCTGGCGTTGGGCGCCCTTCCCCCGCATGGAACAGCAGCCCCGCTTCGGGTTTCTTTCGCTGGCCATTCAGTGGTTGGTGTTGGCCCTGATGACGTTCCCTAGTTGGGTCAGGAGACGTCTGTGCAAGAAAACCAGCCGGGCTCTGGGAACCCCAAGGGCCTCCCAACAGCCCTGGTTCTCCTTTTCCTCCTCCTCCCCACAAACCTCTAGCACTGATGACGTTCCCTAGTTGGGTCAGGAGACATCTGCAAGGAAATAGGCAAGCTCAGGAAGTACCAAGGATCCCATTGTCCTTTTCCTCCTCCTCCTCTGCCTCCACCTCCTCTCCACAAACCCCACTCTCATGGACCATGGATGATGTTCCCTAGTTGGCTCATGAAACGTCTGCAAGGAAACCACCCAGCTCAGGGAGCACCAAGGACCTTACAGTCCTCCTCCTTCTCCATCTTCTCCTCCTTCATCTCCTCCTCTTCCTCCTCTCCCTTCCAACACTGATGAGGTTCCCTAGTTGGGTCTGCAAGGAAACCACCCAGCTTAGAGAGCACCATGGACCTTACAGTCCTCCTCCTCTCCTCAAACCCCATTCTCTTCTGTATTGATGATATTCCCTAGTTGGGTCATGAGACGTCTTGTAAGGAAACCCACAAGCTCCGAGAACACTAAGGACCCCACAGTTGCAATTGTCCTCCTCCTCCTCCTCCTCTTCCTCCTTCTCCTCCCCTACTCTCTTCTAGCACTGATGATGTTACCTAGTTGGGTCATGAAACGTCTGCAAGAAAAGCACCAAGCTCAGAGAGCACCAAGGAACCCTCATTTCTTCTTTTCCTCCTTCTCCTTCTTCCCTTTCCTTTCTTATTCTCCTCCTCCCCCTCCTCTCCACAAACCCCACTTCTTTTTAGCACTGATGATGTTCCCTAGTTGGGTCATGAAATATCTTGTAAGAAAACTACCAAGCTCAGAGAGCACCAAGGACCCCATAATTGTAATTTTCCTCCTCCTCCTCCTCCTCCTCCTCCTCCTCTACTCTCTTCTAGCACTGATGATGTTACCTAGTGGGGTCATGCAATGTCTGCAAAGAAGCCACGAAACTCAGAGGGCACCAAGGACCCTACAGTCCATTTCCTCCTCCTCCTGCTCCTCCTCCTGCTCCTCCTCCTCCTCCTCCTCGCAAACCCCATTCTCTTCCGATATTGATGATATTACCTAGTTGGGTCATGAAATGTCTGCAAACCCCCTCCCCGCACCAAGTTCAGAGAGTGCCAAGGACCTCACAGTTCAATCCTGGGCTACAAAGATTCTCTTGTATGAATTCAAATTCCGTGGGGTCCTTGGTGCTCTCTGAACTTCATTCTTGGGTCTTGTGACCCAACTAGATAACGTCATCAGTGCGCGTGGCAAACCCCCACCGTCCTTCTCACTGATGATGTTTCTTAGTTGGGTCATGAAACGTCTGCAAGAAAACAGCCAAGCTCAGAGAGCACCAAGAAGCCCTCTCAGTTCAACCTTGAGCTACAAAATTTGTCTTCTGTCAACCACTGATATTTTCTGTAGTCCAGAGTCTCCGGATTTTTCTTTTTTTCTTTATAATATTTTTATTGCACATTTTTTGTTATTATACATCACATTTCCAGTTTTGCAACGGCAGCATCCTGGCTATATCAAGTCCTTTTCAAATATACACCGTATTATACACCCTGGTTATAACCGTTATTCTCATAGTGTTCTGACCAAGACTTCCTGAGACAGTAACAATCAGATGCTGTTCCCAAAAACCTTGTTTTTATTTCAACAGCTGTGAATTATATGCATTCACAGCCTGTAATGAGCCCCAAGCAGTTTATGAATAGTCCAACGGAAAAAGAACAATGAACGTGGTGTAATCTAGTTGTCTTACATCGCTAATTCATATGAAAAATAATGCATACATAATACATAATATATATTTACATTCTGTATACATGATATATAATATATACATTAACATTAGTCATTTTTAATACTCCTGATCCTTCCTTTTTTTCCAACCAGTGGTAAAACTTTCCCCATATTTTATAATGTTCGAATCCGTCTTTATTTTTTAATTCTTGGGTCAATTTGTCCATTTCTGCACATGTCCAAATTTTTCTAATTATTTCTATTTCGTCTGGTATTTCCTTTCATTTCCATTTTGAGGCGTAAATTAATCTTGCAGCTGTGATTACATGTATTATTAGAGATATTATATCTTTATTATATTTCTCTAAATTGATTCCCAATTTAAAAAAAAAAATTCCGGTTTGTATTTTACTTTAATTTCACACATCTCTTCTAATTTCACACATCTCTGGATTTTGTGCCAAAAGTTTTGGGCTTTTCTACAATTCCACCATACATGATAATACGATTCATTTTCCTTAACACATTTCCAAACATATAGGGGATAAATTTGGGTACTAGGTGTGTCAGGAGGATTACACCACGTTCATTGTTTTTATTTTATTTTTTCCTTTTTTGTTCAATAAAATTTATTTTTAAAAAATAGTCCTACGGAAGTCTGCCACAGTCCTTCGGGATAAGGCTGATAAGCACCCACCTTTATCTCCCTTGAAATGCTGCCAATGACTAAATTGCCAATTAGCTGTACGAGGCCAAATAGAGCACAAAGTCCACACGGAGCTTCAGATTTTAAATAGACCAGAACGAACAAAGTTGCTTCCTGCAAAGGCTCCTGTCTCTTTGCTCCTCCTTTATGTTTTATGGGTGGGGCCAATCATCTCCAAGCCTTACTCCCGAGTTGCCTCTTTTGTCTTAACTGTTCTTTCCTTCTGGCAGCTCTGTGCATGCGGTGCACTGGTAACAGGCTCCCCTTGTTCCTCTTCCTCACTGCTGTCAGATTCTGGAGGCTCCGGAGTCCACACATAACTCCCAGATGGCCCCGGCCCCATATCTGTGTCGGACGCAGATCCCTCGTCCGAGTCCTCCCCAGACTCCTGGACTGGCCCATGTTCTTCCCCACTGTCCGACTCTGCTGCCATCTCCGCAGGCCGCCAGCGGATCACAACACATAGTCATACAGTGTAGTCTCTTTTACCTACATAGTATTGTACATCACAATTATAACGATTGTTTTCACAGTTGTACCATAACACTCTTATTACATTTATTTTTTTCTGAGTCTCGATCACTTCCATTTGCCAAAAGTGCATGGCATTTGAGCTGCTTTTTTTTTTTGCCTTTTTCTTGCTTGGTTATATTTCTTATTTTTATTTCCAACTTAGTGGGAGAAAAGCTACTGTATTCGGTTTGTACAAGATTTTTTTCCCCAAAGCTGCAGACAAATTGTGACATTCTTTTCTTCTTCGCCTTATCTCCAACGCAGGGAATTTCCAGGAAGCGGGAATTTGATCACGTTTTCCCAGTTCTTCTTCATAGCTTTGGAAGGTTTCGTCTTTGAAGCAAACTTTGGAAGGAAACAGCCCACAATTCCCATCAGGTACGGCCGATCGCTTCTGTTTTGAAGTAGAATGTTTATTCGAGTTGATCCTAATATAGAATACAACTGAAAATAAAGATAATGAGGAAATGAGGAAGGACAAGGAAAACAGCTCATTTTTCCTGTCAGATATGGCCAGTCTCTTTTGTTTTTAAATATAATTTTTATTTCGAGTTTGTCCTAATATAAAATACAGCTGAAAATAAAGATAATGGGGAAATGAGGAAGGAATAGGAAAGTAGCTCATTTTTCCTGTCAGATATGGCCAATCTCTTTTATTTTGAAATGCAATTTTTATTTTGAGTTGATCATAATATAAAATACAACTGAAAATCAAGATAATGGGGAAATAGAGAAGGAAAAAGAAAAAGGAAAGAAGGGTAGGGAAGAAAGAATAAACCAGCAATTTCCAACTTTTTTTTCAGTGCAGTGAGGTGCAAAATATAACTACAATCTCAGCTTTTTAATTAGTGAATGCTACCCATTTCTGTAACAACAAACTACAGGTAGTCCTCGACTTACAACAGTTCATTTAGTGACAGCTCGAAGTTACAATCGCACTGAGAAAAGTGACTTACGACCGTTTTTCACCCTTATAACCGTTCTGGCATTCCCCAATGGTCACGTGATCAAAATTCAGAGGCTTGGCAACTGGCATGTACTTATGACGGTTTTTCAGCATCCCGAGGTCACATGTTCCCCTTTTGCGACCTGACAAGCAAAGCCAATGGGGGGAAAGCCGGATTCATTTAACGACCGCGTTACTAAACAGTCACTTGAAGACTACCTGTATTTGATTTGTGATCCTTCTTTCTGCTTTGGGTAGAAGTCCGGGAGGGGAGTGGGATTTCAAATGGGGAGGGGGCCGCCTTCCAGGAAACTCACATCCCACCTAACTTGGAAGGTGATGTTGTGGCCCACTGGTGGCTAGCGGAGTTGGCAGCAGAGTCAGACAGTGAGGTTGGGGAGGAACCTGGGCCAGTCCTGGAGGCTGAGGAAGGCTCGGATGAGGGCTCTGCGTCGGAGGCAGAGATGGGGCCAGGGCCGTTCGACAGTTATCAGCTGCCTTCGGAGTCGGAGATCAATGGGGAAGAAGAACAGCTGGAGCCTGTTACAGTGTGCACATGCACAGAGCTACCAGAAGAAGGGAACAGCTAAGGAACAAGGGAGTAAGGGTACAGGGGGATGGTGAATGGCCCCTCCCCTCCCAAAAGAGGAGCAAAAGGGGAGGGGTCTTTTGCAGGAAACCATTCGTTTGTTGCAGCCGTGGGAAGATCTGTCTGTGCATCTCAGAGTCTCTGTGCTGAGTCCTTCCTTGTCAGCACTGCATTTGGGAATAGTTACTTGGCAGCTCTCCAGGCGAGATGAGGTCTGTGCTCCTAATCAGACCCTTGGAAGACTGTTGGCCAGGCCTTTAAAGGGCTGAATGCGAATGCAAGAAATTCACCTTCGTTTAATGAAAGGGGTTTTGCCGGGACAAAGAGTCTGCTTGGTGCTTTTTGGGGAAGCTGAGGTCAGAACAGTTGAATAATTTTGGACTTCTCTCTTTTCTAGGTTCTACCTCATTATGGTGGGCATGTTTTTCACAGTCAGTGTGGTGAATAACTATGCCCTCAACCTGAACATCGCGATGCCCCTGCATATGATATTTAGATCGGTGAGATTTTATTCCAGGTTTTAATATTTATTTGTTTGTACCCCACCTTTAATGTTTTTTTATTAATAACTCAAGGAGATGAACGTATCTAATACTTCTTCCTATTCCTCAATAACAGCCCTGTGAGGTGGGTTGGACTTAGAGAGTGTGATTGGCCCAAAGTCACCCAGCCAGCTTTCATGATGACTAAGGCAGGACTAGAATTCACCGTCTCCTGGTGATTGGCCCAAAGTCACTCAGTCGGCTTTCATGCCTAAGGCGGGACTAGAACTCACC